TGCCTGATGCCGCTCTATGCGGACATCAGGCAGCGGAGCCTGCGCCCACAGGTCAAGGGCCGGATGCCCAAGGCATCCCGGGATCCCCTGAGGCCGACAACGATCTGACCCAGGCCAATGAGTTTCCGTGCCCAGCGGATCCTGAGCTCATTACCACGGAGGAAGAACACTATCGATCGGGTCCGGCATCTTTCAACTTCTTTAGCAGAGAGAATCTGCCACCTGCCCCAGACAAACGGCAATGTCCACCAACGAACTTTTTGCCACAAGAGGATGAATAATAAATTATTTTTGGGCATGCGAACTACTTCGGAGACAAAGGGCTCTATATTTCGCATGATGAGCGTCCTCAAGTTATCCAGCGTACACCTCCTGCTATGAGGCAGAAGATTCGAGAGGCCCATATGACTGGGCCCGTCCTCCGCATGTCGAGGCTGTTCGCAACCAAAGGGAGGATACGCTCAGATATGTTGCAGAGTTCGTTGAGGATCCTATATTTGTTGAGCAAACTTAGCAGGGATGACGGTACGTTTGATCCGGCGAGAGAGTTTCTCCGTGCTGAATTCCACTCCGATGATATTCCTGAAGAATTTACCCCTCAGTCCTTGAAATGCTTGAAACAATTAGTATTTGGGGCCGATGATCCTAATAATCCGGCTGCCCTAGGCAGTGCGGACTGTTGGATACCCCAAAGTTACAGAGTACCCGAGTTTGCTCTGCATATCGGTAATTGCGCAGCATATCTAGCGAGGCATTGTTCTGATTACGCGAGGTGTTCGGGAGGCTCGGTCTATTTCGGTGACCTAGTGGAAAGGATCGCCGAGGACGGATGCAACTATCAGACATTTGCTCTCGCTGCACACGGCCTAGCCGCGTTGCAACCAGGGACTGTGGAGGCACTTGGGGTGCAGCCTACTGATAGTGGTAACATCGATGGAACGAAAGCCCACGACATGTGGAAAGACTACACGGCATGGCCCCATCAAAAGAGGGAGAGGAGTGCAGTTCCAATTCCTGTCTTCCATCGAGCGTGCCAGGGACACTTCACTTTTGTTGCTTCCATGGAGAGAATGCATGTCCCATTAGACCCAGGCCAAGCCAGGAGTCACGGGCCTCTTCTTCACATCGCCGACTCGCAGACACTGTTGGAGTCAACAGTCGGAGAAGTCCAGATCCCAAAAAGAGACCCGGGAGTTTGTCTCGAGGCAGATTACGACTTGCTGAGGCATCCCCCGACCAAGAAGAATCCGATTATGCGAGAGGCAGATCGCCTTCCTTCGTGGCTCAGCCAACGGAGGCATGGTGAGACTGTCCCCGCAAGAGAGTTTGCGGCTATGGGCAATGCTGCGCAACCAGGAGAGCCGCTATCGGTCGGAGCATGGCCCGCAGAGGACGCAGTCCGTCTGTGGGTCCAGCTTCCAAGCCACAGGGGTTCCTGGCCGTTAATTGTTGTTTTCAGCGGCCGGGTTCTCGCCCGCTTTTCGCGCAGGATTTGCGGGGATGGGACTCTTGTGCCTCGCGAAGTGCCGAAGTTCACTGACATTGACAAAGCCGTCAGCCTTAGCCTTGTTAAAATTGGAGACTCGCAGGATCCTAGAGACAAGCAAATCTCTCGGTCCATAGTTTTCAACCAAGAGTGGGCGTCGTACGAGGTGGATTTAACAACAACTCGATGCTCGGTTGGATTCGCACGGATGAGACGCTGTCTCTGATCCCAAACAGCATGCCTCCATTGTCACCCTATGCGCAAGAACTCGTCCAATCGATCCCATGGACGGACGACGGGCGGTTCCTGTGCGCTAATCATCACTGGGTGAGGACTGGTTTTGGGCATTGTCCCTGCTGCAGCAACCCGACCAAGCACAAATGCAGAGTTACCCGCGATTACATGCTTCAGACATGGAACGGGGAGGTTATTCCGAGGTCACTCGAGGGATATGGACTTTTGTTGAATGTCAATGATTCCTACGAGCTTCCAAATGATCGCGCTGGCTGGACTGGCGCGCGCGTAAGACGACAGAATAGAGCTTCTGCGGTTGTGATATACAGCATCAACACCAATCTGCAGCAAGAGCGCAAGTGGGCAACCAGGACTCAATATTTACGATTGGCAGCTTCAGGACAAACTTTTGGAAACAGTCGGACAGGCAGTTATCCTGCCTGGATCCCAGACCACGCCGCGGCTCAGCCGCCGGCGCGCCACGGTCCTTTCTTCCAGTACCTCGAGCCTCTGAAGAGGAGACTCATCAAGTGGCTCGCACACCTGGCTGGAAGACAGAGGATAAGAGTTCCTCCGATCGCAGACTGGTGGCCATTGCTTCGGGCAACGGACCTCGATCAGTATGCGCGCCCGATGTCTTGCCCTGCTCTGGCCGCTTTCGCGTGGCCAGAGCAGGGCAAGACAGTGGAAGGTTGGGAAAGATGGGGTCGCACAGTGACCGCTCAGAGAATCCTTGTGCCGACGCTGGAGACATTGGACAACGCAAGGGCTGGGGCAGCGCCATGGCTGCCCATTGAACAGGGCAATGCAATGGACACCACAGGGCACAGCCCTCGTGGACGTCCACCAGTTGCCTGGGCACATAGTTTTGTGGCACGTCCCCACCGTGTTGCACGGTCCGTTACCAGGCGTGTTAATTGTGTTCGGACCACCGTCTGGTTTCGGGACTTGCGCAATCTACCACCGGTCCAGCCGAGACGGCAGGCGAGGAGAACTTACAAGTGACGCTTGACTTCGCTCCAGTCAGCGGGTCGAAGGCCGAGCTGATAATCGAGGGAACAATTGATCTCGATCAACTTGACGGGTACACATACTCACACTGCGAAGACAATTCGTTGAATACTACATTGACCCAGCTCGAAGCCAAGGCAGCGGCTGCACAGTACGTCATGGAGTACCACAGTTTCCGCCCGGGTACAACATATCCCAACATATTACGACTGTCGGGTGAAATGACGCATGAAATCCCGGATATTGTGCGTAGCGTCACTGATGGGAACTGGAAAGTTCCAGTTTCGGAAATGCAATTGGGTCTTCGTATCATGCGCGTGATCGCCATCGTTCGTGAGACCATTAGTAGTTTTATTGTCGAGGGACACCACACTGCGCACCCCGGGAATACCGCTCCTGTCCAGAGCGGGAGCTCTGACCGCGCTGAGGATAAGCGACAGAAGGACGGATGCGCTCTTGACTGTCGCATTCGTGCTGCGGTTCACACGGACGATCTCATCGAGGAATGGGCCCGTAATTTGCGTAGACAGGCCCGCGCAAACATCCGTTGTCAGGGCGCGAAGTTGCAGGAGGCTATTCATTGGCTCCTAGAGAACTAGGCAGACGAGGATATGGAACTACAAGATAAGGTTGAAGGCCCCTTTCGTGCTGCGTGTGGAAGATTTGGCAAATCTGTCGCCACCGCTGCAAGAGAAAATATTCGTTTCACTCGAGATCGAGGGACGACAATTGGTGAGACTGAAGGTGCCGCTGGGCCCCCAGACAGCCAAGCTGATCTGGATGGGGCCGACGAGACCAGATGATTTGCCGAAGGCGAGACCAATTCCGCCACCTCCACCACGCAGACCCGACGTCCAAGACGATCGGGCTCGCGACGACGTCACTGAATCTCCGTATTCTGCCAGCGGCCCAGCCGCGTCGGCAGGTGAAGAGCACTCGTGGTATTCATCGGCTGACCCACGGAATTGGTCTAGACCGCCCCGCGCGCGCGATGGAGCCATGGATGTCGGCCGCGGCGCTGCTGGCTACGACCCGCAGGTCCACTACCCGCACTTCACCAATGACGCCCAGGATGGATACTACGTTCATCGTGACCGCATCTGGTGGACGGCCAATAATATCTGGTGGTCACGAACGTGGCACAGACTGTCTTACACGGACTACAACCGCTACTTCCCGACGAAGGGGAAAGAGTCGAATAACCAAGACAAGCACAACATAACAGCGTATCACGATGGCCGTGGCACGGGATTTAGATCCCGCTCGCCCCGTGGGAAAGATGGCGGACAGGGGGGCTCGTCGCCATCGCGTCCGAGGCCTCCGACTCCGCCGTCGACAGACAGTAATCCATGGGACAATCTGAGTTAGGCCAAGCCCGCGTGACTTAGTCATTGCAGGAATAACCGATCGACAAAGTCGCATCGCCTGTGAGAGCTCTACCGATCGACAAAGTCGAATCGGCGGAGAGAGACTATTTAACTAATGGTGGGAGTCGTCGGGCCTCTTCGGCCCTCAGCCCCCTGGCAGCCTCCGTTGAGCTGTAAAACTTTTTGCGGTTGGCTCCCGTGGTTGTACATATGTACAGGCTGGGGGTGCTGTGGCTGGATGGGCCCTACGAGGCCCGCCGCGGGGGGAGTGAATCTGCTCCTCTCCGCCTCATCATATTCTTGCTGCTCTCACTGCCTGCCTTGCAATGTACTGTCTGTACTATGATGCGGCACTGTTCGGCAGCTGTTCAGTACTCAAGAGAGAAAAGGAGCGCGCCTGCCTTCGCCCGTCGAGAGTCGTTGGTCGTCGGCCGGCTGGCCTCCTCCCTTCCTACTCTTGGGTACTATTGCTTAATGGTATCTCTGTTTTATCATTGATGTCTCTCCCGAAATCCTGTACCACTGGGCAGAGAGAACATGGGACCTTAATTCCTTTGTCATCTTATCCCGATTCTAAAAGGAAAGACTCGGCTGCCCAGATGCACGCCTTCCCGAGCTTCGCGAGAGGAGGGGGCCGGCACCTGCCGCGGACCCTCCGGTGCCTGACGGGATGGAGGAACCTGCGCCCGAAGTGCAGCCGCCGCCCGCCCCCGTGGGCGGCGTGGGCCGCCCTGGCGCTGGAGCTGCTGAGGAGCGGGAAGGGGCGGGCCGGCTTCGGGCTCCTGCTGATGGTAGACGCGTACCTGGGGCCGTCCGAGCCGCTGAGTCTTTGGCGCGGCCCCCTATTGCCGCCAGCTCAATGAGGGTTCCGAGACTGGGGCCTGCACCTCTTCCCCCGGGAGGAGGCCAAGCGCAGCAAGGTCGGGGGCGACGACGACACCGTGGTAGTGAATTCCGAGCGGATGCGGTGGGCCGCCCCAGTGCTGGCGTACCTGGCCTCAGGGCCCGCGTGGGAGAGGCTGTTCCCGTGGGACTACCAGCAGTTTGGCAGGCTGGTGCAGGGCGCGGGGGGGCGCTTGGGGATCGAGGTGGCGCCGCGCCAGGATCGGCACAGCGGCATCAGCCTCGACCCGGCGTTCCACCTGAGGACCCAGGAGGAGGCGATGAAGAGAGCAAGGCGGTCATCTTTTCGCTCTGTCGTGCGCTGCGAGAAGACGGGCCACCTGAACGATGCGTGGAGAGCTGAACCCAGACGTACAGGCACACGCCCTCGTCTGCGAGGAGTGCCTGGTCGACGTGTCCCTGCGAGGGGCCCCCCTGCCGGCGCGTCCGATCCCGTAGGGGCTACGGCGTACTTCCTGAACCTCCTCTCGGGAGTCGGCGGGGTGGCGCGAGCTGCGCGGCTCTGGAAGTTCGAGACCAGGGAGTATGACCTCCGTGGGGGTCCGGCAGGTGATCTTCTGAGAAAGTGCGTGCAGTCTCAGGTTCTGGCCAGCCTGCGCAGAGGGCTGGTCTTGGCCGTCATGATGGCCCCGCCGTGCACCTCTTTGTCGATTGCCCAGAACTCGCCACGCTCGATCCGAAGCAAGCAGCACCCGCGAGGCCTTCCTAGGCTCCCAGCCGACACGAAGGCAAAGGTGAGGCTGGGGAACCGTTTTCTCGATATTGTAGTTCAGGTTGTGCGCGCGTGCGCGCGAGAACGGGTGCCCGATTGCATCGAGCACCCACAGTCCAGCTATATGTGGCGCGATGAAACGCTGTACCACGCTCTAGAAACTGCACACTCGAAGAACTGCGATACCCATCAGTGCCAATTCGGCTCTGCACGCAGGCCACCCGATTGGCCTTCGGGCGTTGCGATGAGCTAGACCCGGGGAGACTGGGCTGCCCCGTCCAGAGCCGATGCCAGGGCACGCGCGGGTTTTGCCCCGCGACAGGGCGCAAGCACGTACTAGTAGAAGGGTCGCGGGCGACAGCGGCGTCGGCCGCTTATCCTCCTCGGCTGGCCGGCGCCCCGTCTCGCAGCATCTGTTCCGCGAAGGGAATCCAACAATTACCTGTGACGCTGCGCTGAGAACTATCGATTCGGGCCTCTGTCCCGGCACGCGATTCGGGGTGCGTTTTGGATCGGTTCTCCTGGCTGTACGATGGGCCTTTAGGCCTTGTCAAACACCTGCTAGACAACAGTAGCGAAACCTCGAGCCCAGGTCCAGCAACAGAACCGTGCTCCGCTAGCCTCTAGAGGAATACAGCATGAATGTGGGTACCACGGGATTGCCGTCTCCTCGCAGGCGACTGTCGTGATCGCAATGGTCTGTGATCGTTTGTGCTCAAGCTTCCCGTCCCAGCCCCCCTATCGTTTTGAATCGATTCTCCTGGCTGTACGATGGGCCTCAAGGCCTTGCAAACACCAGCTAGACAGCAGTAGCGAAAGCCTCGAGCCCAGGTCCAGCAACAGAATCGTGCTCCGCTAGCCTCTAGGGGAACGCAGCACCACCATCATCATCAGCAGCATCACCGTCATCATAATCATCATCAGCATCACCATCAGGAGCAGCATCGTCCTCACCCTTATCATCAGCAGCAGCAGCATCATCATCATCATCACCATCATCTGCATACTCCTCCTCCTCTTCCACCCCCGCCACCTCCTACTCCTCCGCCTCCGTATCCGCCTCCTCAGGCCTCAGCCTCATCCTTTTCTTGTTTTTCCTCCTCCTCCTCCTCCTCGTCTTCGCCCTCCTCCTCCTTCTCCTGCTCCTCCTCCGCCTCCTCCCCCCCATCATCATCATCATCATCATCACCATCATCCTCTCCCCCCCTCCCCCCTTGTCCTCCCGCTCCTCACACTCCTCCTCCTTTTCCTCCTCCTCTTCCTCCCCGTCCTCCCCCTCATCATCCTCCTCATCCTGCTCCTCATCGTCATCATCTGTCTCGTCTTCCTCCTCTTCTTCCTCCTCCTCCTCCTCCTCCTCCTCCTCTTCCTCCTCCTCCTCCCCTTCCTCCTCGTCCTCCCCATCATCATCCTCCTGATCCTGCTCCTCCTCATCGTCATCATCTGTCTCATTTTCCTCCTCTTCTTCCTCCTCCGCCCTCCTCCTCCTCCTTCCTCCTCCTCTCCTCCTCCTCCTCCTCCTCTCCTCTTTCTCCTCCCCCTATCCTCCTTCCCTCCTCCTCCTCTCCTCCTCCTCCTCCTCTTCCTCCTCCTCATCCCCATCCTCATCCTCGTCATGCTCATCCGCCTCCTCCTCCTGCACCTCTTACTCATCTTCCCCCTTCCCCTCCTCATCTTCCTCATCACTCCCCTCATCCTCGTCCTCGTCGTCATCCCCCTCATCATCCTCATTCTCCTCCTCCACCATCCCAGCTCGCAATAGTCTTCGCCATCGAAGTTGCCTTCTGGTGCGCCGTCGTATTAGTGTTACGCATATGCCCGCTAAGCGTACTATGCGGATCCAGATTCGTCGAACGCGTCGTCGTTTTCGTATTCGTCGTCTGGGTCGCCCTACTCCTATTCGTCCCCTCTTCCTCCTCTTCCTCCTCCTCCTCCTCCTCCTCCTCCTCCTCCTCCTCCTCTCCTCCCTCCCCCTCCTCGTCCGCCTCCTCCTCCCCCACCTCCTCCTCCACCTCCTCCTCCTCCTCTTCCTCCTCCTCCTCCTTTTCCTCCTCATCGTCATCCTCCGCCTCCTCCTTTCTCGTCCTCCTCATCCCCCGCCTCACCTGTATCCTTCTCCTCCTCCTCCGGCGCATCGTCCTCCTCCTCCTCCTCTTCCTTCGCATCCGCCTCGCTTCCGCCTCTTCAGCTTCCTCGTCCTCAGCCTATTCCTCGTCCTCCTCATCCCCCCTCCTCCTCAACTTCTTCTTCATCCTCCTCC